AACTAAACTCCTGGCCCTCTGGCCACCAGCTCCTCTATCCACAGACCTCCCTGGCTGTTCCCACGAGGACTTCACATCGAAGTGAAGTGCTTCGATTAACAGCAGGATTAACAGCAGCTCACTCTGCCAAGTTGCTGCATTTTCTCATCCCCTGGTTGTGCCTCCCACAAACCAGGCCTGGGCAAGGCTGGATGTGAAGTCTGGAAGCCCAAAGACGATTCAGATCTGCGCATGCCTGGCCTGTGGGGAGAGCTGTGCACAGCCATGGATAACCCTGACTGTGCTGATTCTCAGCACTGTGGAGGCACCGGGAGCATGAGCAACGGATTCCAGCCACAGAGCCCTGTACAAATGCTTTCCTCCCGTCCTTCTGCCCCATGCAGTGTAGGCCGGTGAGGGAAGCACCCGCTCTTGCGCCCTTCTCCCTTCCCTACCCGCTTCCTGCTGCCAGCTTCACTAGCCCCTCCTAGGTGCTAGGGGTGAAGTGGTGAAAACCCAAAACCCAATCTGGCTGAATGGATACGTGTTTTTAGAGTCAGGTAACTTACCCAGGCTTCTGAGTCTGTTTTTCCACTGACTGGCTGTGAGGCGGGTGTAACCTCAGACAAGTCATGTCATCCCTCTGAGTTTCTTCATCTGTAATAGAAAAGCCATGACGCTGTTTATATGGAGACGAGTGCTGTAGACCCCAGTGCCGCAGCCCCCACAGAGCGCCCACCCCTCCTCCATTGCGCGGCAGTGGCTGGCCCCACTTGAAGACACTGTGCAGGATGCCGGTGAAGATTAAATGTAATAGCCACCTCTCAGAGGTGGCCCCACGTCCTGTCCCGCTCACAGGCATTTACTGAGCAGCCACCTTCTGGGTTGCTCACAGGCCCAGGCTGGAGCATCCAGTCCCAGGGCAGGACTGTGGCTCACCCTGGCAGGCACAGCACCAGCTAGATGCTGAGCACACAGCTGGGGGTTGGTCACTGCTGCAGAAAAGGAATGAATAAATCAATTAGTAAACAGATGACTCTCTATTCAGACCTCTTAGAAAGTTCCTTGACTTCTGCATCCAGAAGTGTTTGATGCTGGCCAGGCCTGAGCAGGATTGCTGGGGCCGTGACATTAATAACATCAACATAATAACCAAACCGGCTGAGCTGTGTTGGCCAGACACTGTTGTAAAGAATGCTATGAGGCGTGGTGGTGCACACACCTTTAATGCCAGCACTAGAGAGGCAGCCGCAGGAGGGTCTCTGTGAGTTCGAGGCCAGCCTGGGCTACATAGGATGATTCAGTCCAGCCAGGGATACATAGTGAGACCATCTCCAAAAAAAAAAAGGGGGGGGGAGCATTTAATGTTAAAGTCCACTTTGCAGAAGAGGAAACTGAGGTACAGAGAACCGAGGAAGCCTCCTTCCTGCCCCCGGGAGGGCGGGGGAGGTGATCACGTTGAGAGGAATATCTGAGGTCAGACTGGTAAAACCGAAGGAGCTCCAGCTGAGGGAAGGAACTGCAGACCTTGCAGAACCCACAAAAGACCGGCCTGAATTCGGGAGCCCCGCCTCCCCCTGCGTCGCCATGGCA